ATATATATATATATATATATATATATATATATATATATATATATATATATATATACATATACATATATATGTATATATGTGTATGTGTACACATATATATATATATGTATGTGTATATGTATGTGTGTATGTATATATATACATATATATACATATATATACATATGTATATATTTATGTACATATATGTATACATACACATATTTATGTATACCGTGAATACCATGATCGCTTGGGCTGTTAGTGTGGATATATCCTGTTAGTGATGTTACTAGGATGCTTCCATACGCTAAATGCAGCTATGCCAAAAAATATGTATTGAGAAGTATTTTAAAAAATATTATTTGCTTTTGTCTTTTTCCAACTTTAAAATATTTTCGTATTAGCGCACGGGCTGCCCGTGCGAAGATGCGTTTTTTGCATAGCTCCACGCAGATTTTTGTCGCTAACGGCACTGGTTTTTCGGCAGATGCTTCTAGCTGAAAGAATTTCAGACTAGCCGTCAAGACTGTTAGGAAACATCCCTTCAAAATTCCAGTCTTCTAGCTTCTCAGATTCCCGAGTTAGCGACTTGCCCGAAGAAAAATTTTAGCAGGCCCCTACGTAGGTACTACGCTTACCCGGGGGTTGGGTTTGAGCTCATTAATACTTGGACGGGGAATGTCCCCTTAAAATTTCAGCCCCCCAGCATTTCTGGTTCCCGAGTTAGCAGCTACCCGTAAAAACCTTTGACGGGCTCGTACGTGGGTACTACGCGAGTAAGAACGCCCGTTTTAGGGATGGGGCCCGTACGTGCATGTAGATTAAGTTCTCAAAATTTCAGCTCCATAGCTTTTGTAGGTCTTGTCGGTACAGACGAACACACAGACAATCTCTCGTCAGTATGTGTTTTCTGCACTGCATAGCTGCAAAAAACGCGTAAAAATTAGATGAACAGGAATGTTTCGGTCCATTAAGTCGCATACATTGATGTTTAAGGCATGGTAATTGTGGAATGCCAAACTTAATATTCATTACATTTTTCAGGCTGGTGAGTGGTGCCGGTGACATCAAGCTGACCAAAGATGGCAACGTGCTGCTTCATGAGATGGTTCGTTCATTTGAGCAGTTTCCATCCCTGGACGAGTAGTCGTGGTGTAGAATGTCTTAGCATGTGCTGATCATTTCTGGAAATCGTTTCCGATTATATTTTCAGCAAATCCAACACCCGACAGCTGCGATGATCGCAAAAGCAACCACGGCCCAGGATGATGTGACTGGCGATGGCACCACCTCTACTGTGCTCTTTATCGGAGAGCTGCTCAAGCAGGCCGATCTGTATGTCTCCGAGGTAAGCCCCTTCATCCCTCTTGGCACCTCACGTCCTTTGTACTCACTGTCTGTATATGTGTGTGTGTGCATCTTTTCAGGGTGTGCATCCGCGTCTTATTACGGAAGGATTCGAACATGCGAGCGCGAAAACTCTTGAACTGCTCGAGAGTTTCAAGCAGTCACCGTCAATTAATCGCGAACTGCTCTGTGAGGTACATTGCCAATAACTTTCTGATTTCTTTTAGATTTCCTCGATTGTGCTGGGGAATTTGAAATGCGTTAATTTAGGTGGCACGCACCTCACTGCGCACGAAACTTAGTGAAAAATTGGCCGATCACATTACGGAGTGTGTGGTGGATGCAGTGCTTGCGATAAGAGTGGGGGATGAGCTCCGTCCAGACTTGCACATGATCGAACTGCAGGTACAGTCAAAACAGTTCCTCTTTTGAGACTTTGTTTTCGTTGATTGTATGAATTTTTGCGTTTTTATGCGTTTTTGCCGTGCAGCGCTAGAGCGCTGCAACAGGCAGCAAAATTGCATATTGCAACGACCCTGTCAGTGTGTGTGTGCGTGTGTGTGTGTTCGTCTGTTTGGGTATTTCAACTCGCTAACCACGCAAGCCTTGAAGCTGAAATTTTGCCGGTGTGTTCCCCGGCCAGGTACCACCCCAGGACCGCGGCTTCAACCCTCACGCACATCTGGGCCCCGCGTACGAGCACGTGAAAGTTTTGACCCGAAAATCGCTAACTCGGGAACGAGAAAAGCTAGAAAGCTGAAACCTTGGGAAAATGTTCCCCACCAACAAAAAGATTTCAAATTCAGCTGCCCAGGAGTGCCCGGGGCTTACGTACGGGCAAGTGAAAATTATGGCCGGAAAATTCATAACTCGAGAGTGAGAAAAGCTAGAAAGTTGTAACTTTGTGGGAATGTTCCATACTCATGCTCAACCAAAAGTTTTCAAATCCAGCTCCTTAGGACCGCCCGCGCGTACGAGCACGTGAAGATTTTGGCGCGAAAATTACTAACCCGGGGACGGGAAAAGCTAGAAAGCTGGAACTTTTGGGGAATGTTCCCCACTCATGTACGAGCAAACTCAGATGTTTAGAAGCGCCTGAGCCCAAGTACGAGCGCGTGGAAATTTTGGAGCGAAAATTACTAATCCGGGGACAGGAGAAGCTAGAAAGCTGAAACTTTCGGAGGATGTTTCCTACTCATGCATGACCAAGTTCAGGTGTTTAGAAGTGCCCATGCCCACATACGAGCGCATGGCGTGAAAATTACTAACCCGGGAACGGGGAAAGCTAGAATGTTGAAACTTTAAGGTAATGTTCCCTGCTCATGTATGAGCAAAAGATTTTAAATTCAGCTTCTTAAAACCGTCCAGTACTCATGTGCGGACACGTGAAAATTTTGGTGGGAAAACTGCTAACTCAGGAACGGGAAAAGCTGAAGGCTTTAAT